TGTTTCTGTTTTGTTGTTGTTGTTTATTGTTTAGGACAGAGCTTTTTTAGCGTTATAAAGCCTCAGACTTACTCCCGAGCCACCAGGGGGTCTAATACATAAATTCGTTTCGGTTCTGATCTATATACCTAGCATATTTTTGACCAGAATTTCTTAATAATGCAAACATTTATTAACGTAAGATAACATATGAATGTTTAGTACTTATTTTTTCATGCAAATACAACAATCTTTGCACATTCAGGAAGACAAGTGTTAATATATATATATAATTTTAAATAATCATAAATTTAGTTTTCCAATTACTCATACAGTGTTTTATAGTGGAACTTATTTTGTCTTATCGCGTCCTCTGGTGGGATACTTACAATTTTCACATTCTCTATCACAATATTATCTTCATAATCTAAAACCACTATTACACCATAATACTGCAAATTTACCATCACTGGAGAACAGATTAACACATCAATTTAGCTAGTTTTCTTTATTTTTTATAACAAGTCTACTACAAATTATGGAATTTGGTCTTATATGACCAGTTGTTAAGAAAATCTCACTCTTAATACTTGCCCCCTCCCCCCAGTGGCATAGCGGTATGTCTGCGGAGTTACAACGCTAGAAACCGGGTTTGATACCTGTGGTGGGCAGAGCACAGATAGCCCATTGTGTAGCTTTGTGCTTAATTCCAAACAAACAAAACAAAACTTTTAATACTTATTTACTTTGAGTTTTCTTAGAACTAAATAAATTCTTTCGTCTCACACTCAGAAAAAAAAAAGAACATCATTGTGAAGCCAGTGGCATTTTTAAATTGAAAATATTAGAATTTTGCAAATTTCCGACTGGAGGGTTTATATTGAGTGAAAGCAAAATCAAACTTAAAGATTATCAAACTCATCAGGCTGTTAAAACAAATTGCCCTTTACTGTATTTTTGTATAGAAGTTTAAAAGTAAAAAGTTTTTCAAGTAACATCTTGGATGTTTCTGTTTCTTTCGGCTGTAAATATGTTCTCAGTGACTCAGCGTTAAATCTGACGGCTCATCACGCAATATCGGATGTCGATACTCACAATGAGCACAGCACGGATAGCTTTGTTTGTTTGTTTTTGAATTTCGCGAAAAGCTACACGAGGCCTATCTGCGCTAGCCGTCCCTAATTTATCAGTGAAAGACTAGAGGGAAGTCATCACCACCCACCTCCAACTCTTGGGCTACTCTTTTACCAACGAATAGTGGGATTAAGCGTCACATATAACGCCCCCACGGCTGAGAGGTCGAGTGTGTTTGGTGGGTCGGAAATTCGAACCCACGACCATCAAATTGCGAGTCGAGCGCCCTAACCACCTGGCCATGCGCAGATAGCCTATTGTAGCTTTGCGCTTAACAACAAATAAACAAAACTCTCTATATGTACTTATATTGCGCTTGTGTAAAGGCAATTGTAACACTAAAGAAAAAATGGTTGAAACAACATATTTTCTGAATAGTGATCCACTTTAAACGAATTAGATCACAAAATAAGAAAAAAACGTTGTTTTTTTTTAGATTAATAGTTCAGTTATTTATTAACTAATTTTGCAGCTTTTTTTCTAGACATTTCAATGATTTACTCCGTGCAGTCATTTTTGAAACTTTTATGTTGTAATATTTTATCCAAAGCGAATGCTGTTTTTGATCGCTCGTTATTGTTTTTTTTTCTTTTTCTTGAGAGTTGTTCATACTTGACACCAGTCGTTTAAATAGCATATCGTTTTTCTGTTTTTACTGTAGTATCGGTTGCTGTACTATTTACCATCAGCAAGATTAACTCTAATGGTTCAATTTGTTCGAACATCATTAAGTTTTTATTGCTGAGTTCAGTTTGAAAATTGTTTCTCTTAACAGATGGTTTCATTGATTGGTTTGCTTCACAAAATGCATCCGTTTAGAATGCTAACGACAGCTATATCTTCAACAATAAGACAATCGGTCTTTAACTACAAGAAGGATAACGATGGGTGATCAATGACTTAATCACCTAGTTACAGTACATTTACCGTATTGGGAAGGGTGTAACCATTTGGTGTAAGCATTCTACTAAGAATAATTTATGTAATGTACCAAAGAAGGTGTAACCATATGGTCCAAACTATATACCCCACTGGTTAGCGTTCACTTAGGTCATTAGGGAGGGAGGATGTAACTATACGGTTCAAACTATACACCCCACTGGTTAGCGTTCACTTAGATCATTAGGGAAGGAGGATGTAACTATACGGTTCAAACTATACACCCCACTGGTTAGCATTTACTTAGGTCATTAGGGAGGGAGGGTGTAACTATACGGTTCAAACTATACACCCCACTGGTTATCGTTCATTTAGTTCACTATGGAGGGTGTAACCGCTTGGTTAGAATTCGCATAACGTACTGGGAAGGGTGTAATCATCTAATCATAACCATGTATTCAGCGTGCTGAGAACTGGATACAAATCCGATCAGAGTCCACATATTGTACCTTGAAAGCGCAACTCGTCTGATTAAAGCTTAGATAGCGTAATAGGAAAGGTGTAGGTTGTCATCTCTCACGTAAAATCATTCTTACAGAATTCGCATAAATGCTTACAACTTTGGTCAAGAGTCAACAGTTTAGTGTGGTGCAAACGTGACTGAAAAATCTTCTAAATGTGCTCGCGTTGCAAGCGCTCAGTCCAACCTTTGCTACAGCATTTGGTGTGCTTACTTTTTTGAATCTTTTCCAGTAGTGACGAATAAAGGGGAAGTATGATTTACGTGGAAAGCTATTTTAAAGCAGATTCTAGATTTTTGGCAATAATCCTTTGCAAAAGTGTGTACACTAAATTAAATTGATACCACTAAGACAATGAGTTTTTGCACCAACTTTAATATTAGTGAAAAAAAAACTGTGGGTACTGAAAAATTTTAAATTTTCTCGAAAACTTCTCGAGGCTCTAAAATAAAAAAATATGAAAAGATAGTGAAGGATAATTTCCGCATTTATTCTATTATTATTTATTTATTATTTATTATTATTTATTATTTATTTATTCTATTAAGTGCTTAATATTTAGGATAAAACAGATATATGCTATTCTTAATGGTATTTTGTGCATAATAAGGAAACAATTGAAACACAAGTGACTAAAGTAATTTTGTATCTTTTTTCCTTTTCTATTTTCGCTACAAAATCACCTTTTGTTTGATGACAAATTATTACTACTTGAGTTATGTATACGCTCTGTGTTGTTTTTTTATTTATTTACAAAATATTGGTTTAATTTTCATAATTTTCTGAATATAAATTTAATCCGCTCACTACTTGTGATTGGTAATGTAAAACTTGTAATCTATAAAGATAAGACTATATTCTGTTTGTTTGTTTGTAAATAAGCACAAAGGGCCACCTGTGCTCTGCTTTACCTTCCTCGACATTAGGATAGTAACCTTCAAAAAGCCCCCCAGTGGCACAGCAGTATGTCTGCGGACTTACAACGCTAGAAACCGGGTTTCGATACGCGTGGTGGGCCGAGTACAGATAGCCCAATGTGTAGCTTTGTGCTTAGCTTCAAAACAAACAAAACAAACCTTCGAAAAATAAAAACCGATTATCAAATGTTAACATTTTGCCACGATGTTAGGAGTTATGCACCTTGCATTATAAGATGAACGCGACTGTAGGGTAATCATTAATAATAGTTTATAAGTGATTAAACTTCATGGCAGTGGTCGCGGACGTAATTCTATGTGTCACAATTAAGTAGTTGACAG